TAAGACCAAGTTTTATTCAGGTAAAAGCCCTCCCTCCTCTGCGAGGACAGATCTGCCCGTGTGTGTCCCCCCCCCCCAAATAGGTAGCAATCCAAAACAGTCCAGTGGAGCCTGAGTGGTGAGTGTTGCCTTCTGACACACTTCCAGTGATGTCAGGGGGCGTGGCATATGCAAATAAGTCATGCTAATGAGTCATGCTAACGAGCTCCTCCACCTCTTTTTCTACGAAATGACCCCTGCAGCAGGGGAACCAATCTCCACAGTCTGGAGATGAGCCTACCAATATCATTGGACAAATAAACATCGTTATCAATATCTATTTTTATCCCTTCCGCTTTCAGTTTTGGCAGTCTCATTTAATGTTAATAAAAAGCAGAGTTGCATATTTTCCCCATTAAAAAGTGTAATATTCGTTCACGTCCTATGGCTCTCAAACGTCTGACGTTTATTCTATGTGACTCTTACACTAAGCATGTTTGGACACCCCCTGCTTTAAGGTGCTCCTGTTCTCTCGCTCTTCTCTCTTGCCTGAGGAAGTGAGCAGAGACTCAGGACATCTTCTCCCCTGCCACAAATGCTGATAGTCTTTAAGGGGCTCCTGGTCTCTCGCTCTTTTCTACGAATAGCTCTGTCACGCTTCTCTCGCTCTTCAGAAAAAGCCCAGCAGGAACTCATGAGCATAATAGGCCACACCCAACAACAGAAACTCATTCGCCTATTAGGCCACACCCCTGACAGCACAGCTCATTAGCACAATAGGCCACACCCCCATGTTACCAGAAGTGTGTTCATCCAGCCACACCCACCTTTTGCTTCTTATTCTGTTCACCTTGTTTGTTGTCCAAACCCAGGGCCTTTTTTGGTAGCAGGAACTCCTTTGCATGTTAGGCCACACACCCCTAATGTAGCCAATCCTAATGAGTTCCTGCTGTTGGGTGTGGCCTGTTATGCTAATGAGTTCCTGCGGGGCGTGGCCAACTCGGGAGCCAGCCGGATCTCCGTTCCTGTGCGTTCCTGCCCCAAAATAGCCCTGGCTCTGTGTGAAATCATCGAGTCGCATAGCCATGTCCAGTGACGTTCTCCTCCCTCTCCCTTCCGCCTCTCTCCCCAGAAGCCAATGTCAGACGCCTCCTCCGCGCCCCCCGGGCCCGCCCTCAACGCCTCCATCGCCCCTTCTGACGACCGCAACGCCGCCTTGGCCCAGGGCGAAATCGCCGTCTTGGCCTCCATCTTCCTGCTGGCCACGCTGAGCAACGGGCTGGTCCTGGGGGCCCTCTCCCGCCGCAGCCACCGCGCCCTGCCCATGCACCGCTTCATCCACCACCTCTGCCTGGCCGACCTGACCGTGGCCCTCTTCCAGGTGCTGCCGCAGCTGATCTGGGACATCACCGACCGCTTCCAGGGCCCGGACGTCCTGTGCCGCGCTGTCACCTACCTGCAAGTGATAGGCATGTTTGCCTCCTCCTACGTCATTGTGGCCATGACTTACGACCGCTACCAGGCCATATGCCGGCCCATGGTGGCTTTCCGGAAGGGCCCAGCCTGCCGGTACCGGCCCGTGGCGGTGGCCTGGGCCGCTTCCTTCCTCCTCGGCCTCCCCCAGCTCTTCATCTTCTCCAAAAGGCAGCTGCCGAGCGGAGCCCACGAATGCTGGGCCCAGTTCATCCAGCCGTGGGGGGCCCAGGCCTACGTCACGTGGGTGACCCTGATGGTCTTCGTCCTCCCCACGTGCTTCATCGCCACCTGCCAGGGCATGATCTTCCGCGAGGTCCACCGCAGCCTGCGCATGGGGCCGGAGGGGGCCCTCGGGGGGCGGGGCGTCCGCCAAGGGGCATCCCCCATCTCCGGGGCCGTCACCAAGACGCTGAGGATGACGCTGGTCATCGTGCTGACCTACATGATCTGCTGGGCTCCCTTTTTCCTCGTCCAGCTGTGGTCCGTTTGGGATCCCCGGGCACCCATAAACAGTGAGTCCCTCCCGGCACCCGGGAGTTGTCCTCTGATCAGAACCGCAGTATGGAAAAGGTTCTCGTTCTCGTGGCCGCCTCTCCTTGATGGTAGAAAGCGCTGCCGAATCACAGCCAACTTACGGTGACCACTCTAAGCTGTGTTCCCTCTAAGCTGAGTCAGTGTGAGCTAGCTCACAGTTTTTTAGCCTCCGGGTCACACATTTTTGTCTTCGCTCAGGAAGGTGGGCTCCAGGGCAAACTGATTGATGCAGCAGCCAAATTGCTCGCTCACAACCAGTGTTCCCTCTAAGCTGAGTCAGTGTGAGCTAGCTCACAGTTCTTTAGCCTCCGGCTCACACATTTCTGTCTTCGCTCAGGAAGGTGGGCTCCAGGGCAAACTGATTGATGCAGCAGCCAATTCGCTCGCTCACACCTTTAATGCCAGTAGCTCACAAATTGTTCTTTGTCCCGATACTTGGATTAGGTACTGAACCAGACGATTATTGTTTTTAATCATATTTTAACATTTCTGGATGCATTATTACATTTGTGCATTGGTCAGGATCTTAACATTGGTGCCGAAAAGTAAATATATTAGGCACCAACTGAGCCTCAAGGGGGGAGGGCATTCCAGATGTGAGGGGCACCACAGGAAATGCCCCGTCTCTAGTTGCCACCTGCCTCACCACTGCAGGGGGGCGCGCAGGTAGATGGGCACGAGGGGTAGGTATTCACTAGCAGCCTGGAAGGTATGGAAGGAAATAGCCCTGCCCACGTGCTCCGGCCCAAGCTGTTTAGGGCAGGGGTGTTGAACTCATTTGCGTTATGACATAAATGAGACCTTGCTGGGCCGGGCCGGGTGTGTCATAAAAGGTAAGGCCAGGTAGCGGAGGCATCAACTTTATAAAGGACACAAGCACAAAGGTTGGGGTTTGTTTTTTTTAACTTAAAATAAAAACATGCTTAAGACATCAGCACTCTTGCAATGTTTTGTTTATTTCACAGTGTCTGATAACTGACACCTCTTGCTCTGAATTATTGCATCGAAATGTCTGTGCTGTCCCTCTAGTCCAGCCTCCCGTCTCACACAGGGGCCAGCCAGTTCCTCTGGAGGCCAAACAACAAGGCATATAGGCTGAGGTTTTCCCCTGATGTTGCCTCCTGGCTCTGGGATTCAGAGGATTAGTGCCTCTGAACCTGGAGGTTCCCTTTTGTCACCATGGCTAGTAACCATTGATACACCTCTCTTCCATAAACCCATCAAATCCCATTTTAAAACTATCTATTCCTGCGGCCATCACTACATCCTCTGGCAGCGAATCCCACATTTTAAGAAAAAGAGACTGCATTTAAGAACATAAGAACATAAGAGACGCCAATGTTGGATCAGGCCAAAGGCCCATACAGTCCAACACTCTGTGGCAC